GGATGGTCTTGAGGGTGGTTGCCTGAGTTGGCATAAAAAGTACTATGCCTGGTGGAGGTGTGGCAGGTGTTGTTGTAAGCAAATTCTGCCTTGAGTAGAAGGTCAACCCAGTCCTCTTGGTGATACTGGAGGAAGTAGCGGAGGTACTGCTTCAAAACCTGATTGACCCGTTCTGTTTGTCCATTTGTCTGTGGGTGGTAGGCTGACAACAACCTCCTCTGGATGTCCAGGAGTTCTAGGAAGGTGGCCCAGAAGCAGGAGGTGAACTGAGGCCCTCTTTTGGAAAGAACTACGTCAGGTAGACCATGGAGGCAGAGGATGTGAATGAGGAACAGGTGGGCTGTCTGTGACATGTTAGGAATTGGAAGAGGAATGAAATGGGCCATCTTGGCAAGCAGGTCTACTGCTACCAGGATGGCAGTGTAATCCTGGGATGAGGGCAAGTCCACAATGAAATCTAGAGACACTACAGACCATGGCTTGGAGGGTGTTGGGAGAGGTTGTAGGAGACCTTGAGGTCTTTGGCAAGGGACCTTGACCCTTGCACAGGTCTCAGAAGAATTTGAGACATCAGGTCACAGGGTTGGCCACCAGAAGGCTCTGGAAATGAGCTTGAGTGTCTTTGAGTACCCCCAGTGGCCTGCTGTGCATGAGTCATGATACTGTTGGAGCATCTACACTCTAAGGGTACCCTCAGGGACATAAAGCCGGCCCTGAAGGTATAAGCAGCCATCTTGCAGAGTCAGGACCCAGGGATTGTTGGGCTGGTTAGGGTCTTGCAGTCTGGGGCCTGCAAATGGATCAGCAGGCAGAGCTTGGTGGATCTGGGAAATGAAGTCTTGTTCCATAGTTCCATGGAGGAAATTGGCAGGGGTAATTAGAGGGGCAAGGACTGTACTGCTTTCTGTAGCCAGCTTGTCCTTATGGGGCAAGGTGCCAGCTTTCCTGTTCTTGGTACCTGGCCTGTAGGTGATCCAAAAATCAAACTGAGAAAAGAACAGGGCCCAACAGGCTTGACGCGATCGAAGGGACATCATGGACTGGAAATGCTCTAGGTTCTGATGATCCATGAGCACCTGGATGGGGTGCACTGCTCCTTCTAAGAGATGTTGCTATTCCGCAAACACCACTTTAATTGCCAACAGTTCTTTGTCCCATGTGTCGTAATTTTTCTCTGCTAGGGTCAATTAACATGAGTAGTAGGCAACGAAGGGGAGATTAGGGTCTGGGTGTCGTAACACAGGGGCGAAGGTGAAGGCTTTCTTTAGCTGGATGAAGGCAGTTTGTGCAGCAGGGTTGTGTGGAACCAACCTGCTTTTTCAGCAAGGCTGTGATAGGGGCAATGATGTGTGAGAACCCCGGATGGAGCACCGATAGAAGTTTGCGAAGCCCACAGATGCCAAGCCACCCTTGGCATCCTTGGGCAGTTCCCACTCTAAAACTGCTTGGACCTTCTGGAGTCTGGTTGAAGAGACAGTGTACCCTAGGAAGTCCATTGACTCTTGGTCAAAGGTGCTTTTCTCCAGCTTGGCATACACGGCGTAGAGACGATGTTCCTGTAGCCACTGCAGGACCGCAGGACATGCTGATGATGTTCTTCTGGGTTCTTTGAAAAAAAAATCAGGATGTCGTCCAAGTAAATGACCACAGAACAGTCTAGCACATGGGTCCTCAAACTAAGGCCCATGGGCCGGATGCAGCCTGCCATGCCCTTTCAACCGGTCCGCCCCACAGGTTTTGCACTCGCTGGGTGTGCATGCAGCTTGCTCGTGAGGAGGTCATTTTGGAAATGCTTGGAGAAAACAATCTCCACGTGAGCAAGGCGGAGCCTTGCCATGTGTGCGCCCAGCGCCGGCTTGCTCACGAGGAGGTTGTTTTGGACTCGCTCAGAGAAAACGGTCTCGCAAGCAAGCCGGCACCTCACTCCGTGCCCCTCCATCCGTGCCCTGCATCCATGTGCGCCCCACCCCCACACTGGCCTGCACCCCCTGCCAGCACCACCTTGGCGGCCTGCAGCCTCTGTTGGCACCTGTCAACTGGCCCCCTGTCCAGAAAGTTTGAGGACCCCTGGTCTAGCGTGTCCTAAAAAAACATCAGTGACGAAGTGCTGGAAGGTAGCAGGGACGCTGGACAGGCTAAAAGGCATAACCCTCTATTCACGATGACCATAGTGCATCCAAAATGCTGTCTTCCATTCACCTCCTTTCCATGTTCTCACCGGGTCGTATGCCCCCTGCAGGTCTATCTTGGTAAAGACACAGGCTCCCTGCAGCTGCTCAAAAAGTTCTGGAATTAGTGGGAAAAGGCATTGGTTCTTTAGGGTACGAGTAACCTGGTTTCAATTTTCGATAATCTATGCAAGGATGCAGACTGCCTTGACAAAAAAAGATGGGGGGCCCTGCTGGTGACAAGGATGGCCTAATGAAGTCCCGGGCCAAGTTGTCCTGAGGGTATTCACGAAGGGCCTTTAGCTCTGGGACGGAGAATGCATAGATACGCCCAAAAGAAATCTCAGCCCCAGGTTGCAGGTCTGTGAGACAGTCATAGGGGCAGTGAGGTGGTAGAGGCTCTGCCTCCTTTTTTTCAAAAACATCAGCTAGATCACTGTACTGAGCTAGGAGGGTAACGTCAGTTTGGGAGACAGATTTAGGTGCCTCTGTCGCAGTGCCATGGAGCACTAGCTTTGATATCTCTGGGCCTGGAGGGTTCTGTAGTTCCTTGGCATCTGAAAACTGCTGAGACCTGAAAATAAACTTTTTTGTCATACAGGAAGTCAAAAGTGAGGGATCTCTGGCTCCACATAATGGCAGGGTCGTGTTTCATGAGACAGGACATGCCCAGGATCTCTGGGGTAGCAATCAGTGTGGGGTAGCAATCAGGACATAGGTCATCACCTTCTGATGGCCTGAGGCAGCCAGCCCAACCAGAGGGCTGGTTTGATGGGTGACAGGACCCGATACCAGTTGGGACCCATTGAGGCCTTCCACAATGACTGGGGTGTTTTTTGCTTGACAGGGGATGTGGTGTTTCCTGGCAAAGTCTTTGTCTGTGAAATTAGAGGAGGCCCCAGAGTCTATCATGGCCACTACCTGAAGGAGTTCCCCATGGGGCAGGAGGAACCAGACTGGGATGAGGAAATGGGGGTTAGATGTTTCAGTCCCCAGAGCATTTTCCCCTAACATTTCTAGGGTGGTCTGTTTCCATGGAGGGTTTTCTTGGAAAGGCAGGTGGCCACAAAGTGTTCCTCTTGGCCACAATAGAGGCAGAGACTGATAGTCCACCGCCATCGCTTTTCCACCTGTGCCAGGCAGCGCCGGGAACCATTGACTTCCATAGACTCAGGCCTGGATTCAGAAATCTCATGCTCCAGTGGCCTTACAGGGATAGGTTTGGGTCAGTCACATTCCTGTCGCCATTCTGCATTTCTCTCAGCAAGCCGAGTGTCAATAGCAATGCTTCGGGCTATTAATGCTGCTAAGGAAGAGGGTGGATCAGTTGTGACCAGTTCATCTTTAATTTCTTGCCAAAAATGGAAGCACAGTGCTGGTTTGTTCCACAAGGTGTCACTGGCAAGACATAGAAACTTTGCAGCATATTCAGCCACTGAACGGTGTCCCTGTGAAATCCGCCTGCCTTTCAGCGCAGCTATGAATCTTTCTGGTTCCCCAAGATAAGGGTCATCCCATTCTAGCAGGGGAGACACCCAGGCTGGAGCTGTGCCAGAGAACAGGCTCACAAACGCGGCCACGTGGAGCAGGACAAGCCTCGGGGCATGTTCAAAAGAGCGGATTGCATTGATTTAGAAAGCCTTGTAGTTCCTTGCTGTTCCCACCAAAGTGTGATGGCAAGGGAGGTGCTGGGGCTCGCCGAGGCGGAGGCGGCGGCGACGCAGCAGGAAGGGGCTGCTTGCAGGGCGAGCAGTTCAGCCTGCAAGGTGACTGCTTGGTTCTGCAAGGTTTGCAGAATGCCGTCTATCTCAGCGTTCACGCTGAATCGCTGGATGGGGCGTAGAAGGGCCACAGCAAACTGAGGGCTGGGCCGCGGGTGGTGGCAGCAGGGAAGGGCAGAACACCGCATCCAGGGCACGAGCTCAAGCTGAGTCGGGACTTACTATGGGCCAGAGGCTAGGGGCAAGTCAGCAGGTCCAGGTCAAAGGCACGGAGGAGAGCAGTCCAATTTTGCATACAGAGAGAGAGAGCAGTACAGTTCCAGGGTCTACTCAGAGGAGAGACATTGCTGCGACGGTTGTAACAGGCTGGAGCGAGGCAGGGTCTACCAAGAGGAAAGAGAGGGAGAGCAGAAAAGGGCGCAGGCTGGAATGATGCAGAAATAAGCTGGAACAAGACAGGTGCGACGGGGACCAGGGCTTGAACACAGCAGGAACAAACGGGAGCAAGGCGTAGCGATGCAGGGACTAGAGCACAAGGAATCACCAGGACAACTCGTGCTGCTGTGGCCAGAAGCAGCAGTGCAGGGAAGCCTTTTCTGCTGGTCTTCGGGGTCTCCAGCTGCACTGCAGAATTGCTCCACAAATGTTTCCCGCAATTGCCCACAAAGGTGTTCCTGGTTCTGGAAGCACTTGCAGGGTCGCTCAGGCCCTGGTCCTGACACAGGCTCCCAGGTGCTGCTCATAAGGACCCTGATCATTGCAGTAGGCTGTGGGTCCAGTCCTGCAGCTAGCAGGGCCGTTATTCTGGCCTTTGGCCAGAAGATGGAGCCCCAAAGCTGCCTCAAATCCTGACACACTTGGCTTACCTTGGGGCTTGCTGGCCTTGGTATTTCAGCCAAAATTTTTGACCCATCCTCCCAGCTCAGATTCAAACTGTGACGTTACCACCTTGGAATGCTGTGTTTTGGGAGTTGCAGGCCCAGTCCTCCAAATGACAACAGGAAACATTAAAAGGCAAGCAGGTGCTTTCCTGTCCATTTCTGCTCCTCCCCCTCCTGCTCCATTCCCTAATTCTTTCCTGGCTCACGTTGTCTTCCTTTCTTCATTGCAGTCCCTTCTGCAGTTCCGATGATGCACCAGGTGAGTCGCACAACTAGCAGCATCACTTTGTCCTGGCCGCAGCCCGACCAACCCAATGGGATCATTTTGGACTATCAGCTTCGCTATTTTGACAAGGTTCGTGGTGGGTAGGGCGAGGATCTGTCTTTGGTGGGAATGCGTGGGCTGGCAGCGGGGTGGGGGAGTTGGACCTGTGCTACACGAGTCAGATCAAGTGACAATAAACTTCTCTACACTAGGCAGTTATGGTATGCTCATTGTTTTCTACTCATGGTTGTTCACTGATGCTTTCATTTAATGTTGTGACCCTCCATTTCACTTTGGACAAGTTTTTTAGGGTAGGGAAAATGCAGTATTGCTTCTGATGATGAAAGAAAAGCTGTTTCTACATATGTAGTTTGCTATAGGACAGTGTCACCTTGATGTGACTACAGCAGAAAAGCAGGAAAAAAACCTCCTTGTTTAGTGCTTGGATCTCAGTTATTCAGCAAAACTGAAATAGATACAGCAGATTAACATCCCCAGGAAGAAAATCCTGATGTGAAGAAACCAGGGTTAAAAATTAGGACTCGGCCGTTGTCTTTCCCTTGTAAGATTTTCCATGCTTGTAGTCTATACTATACACAAATTGAATTAGACTGTCATGACTTTCCATCGAGAAACCCTTTGGGACTTTAAAGGTGGGTTAAATGTATCTGACTAAGTATTTACAAAACTATAGTTCCCAGGATTTCTTGCTGGGGAAATGTGGATGTAAGAGCAGTTCAGGTTTGGGATGTAAATCGCTTGTTCCCAGGAAGTGGTGTGTGAGCTTGTCACTAAAGCAGTGAGGCCTCATTGTCTCAGGGATCATGTTCCTAAGTCACCTCAGTGGGGTGGAAGCTCCTGCCAGTGGCTTCTTCCCATATCATCCAGAAATAGAAGACAGTGGAAAGGCCCCACTGGAGCATCTTCCATCTGAACAGCCTCTTTTCCTGAGCAGGGCAGTGGCGGTGTGGAAGGAGCTTCGTGGCGAACTCTTTCCATGTGTTGACTTCAGGCTTTCTGTGCCACCAGAGACAGTAGAAGGCAGTTGCATTCCCTGTGCTGACATAATGTGGGAACAGGCCCTTAAGGAAAGGAGACAAAGGCGATGCCCACTTTCTTGCAGGAATCCATGCAGTTAGGTGGGAGAGTTACCCATTTGCTGCAGAATTTAGTAATGGCAGCTTAGGTCTCTTTTCTTCCACTATCAGTTTTTATTTTTCTGCTAGCACCTGCCACCTCTTCAGGATAGTGTCAGAAGTCCAAGGTGTGGCATCAGGTTAAACACCAGGATCCAAACATCTTAATCCCGAGTATGAACCCAAGTCCAATCTGACTTCCAAGCCAGTAGTAGATAAGCACAAACCAGGAGTCAAGAGGCAGAAAGTCCACACAAGGAGAGGGTAGCTTAAGAGCAGAGGCAGGAGCAGAAGCAAGGCCCAGAGGTAAGAACAGCAGCCAAGGGTTCAGAGCAAAATCCAGGAATAAGAACAGGAGCAGGTGGAGGTGCAGAGTGCAGGGTTCACAGCCAAGGATTCACATAGCAATGGGAAGCACCACAACAATTCAGGAAGTGCTCATCGTCAAGGCAGCTTCTGGAGGGAAGAGCCAGTTCTTATATCGCTCTCCCTTTAGGGCTCCCAGCTGGTGCTGGTAAGGACCCTGTCGGCTGCAGCAAGCCATGGGTCCGGTCCTGTGACTACCAGGGCTGTCATTCTGGCCTGTGGCCAGAAGGTGGAGCCCTGAAGCAGCCTCAGATCCTGGCAGATGGCCGCAGCAGAAGCTTTTGCCAAGCCCTGGCTTTGGAGCAGACACGGGGAGGTCGGGGAGAGCTGTCTAGACTAGACAGGCACTGCTAGAGGGTTTGCTGAGGAGTGGGGAGAGCAGTTGTGTTGATCAGCATGTCTTGCCTAACCACTTCCCAGTCAGAAGACGAGGACAATTCGTTCACCCTCACCAGTGAGACTAACATGGCCACTATCTCCAATCTGAGCCCAGGGAAGATCTATGCCTTCCAGGTGCGAGCCCGGACAGCAGTGGGTTATGGGCCATACAGTGGAAAGATGTATTTCCAGACCCTGGTGGGAGGTGAGTGCTACACCTTCGTGAGCTTGTGAACCTAGAGTTACCCGTGCCCTTTTCTCCTGTTCTTACCCCCCAATCTGTTGGCTTTCTCTTGTTCTGACCACTTGCTCATGCGCTGTCAACTTTCACAACATCGGCTAACACGTTTGATTGTGCATGGTTCAGCGTTGCCTTGTTCAGTCCTCGCAGGCCCTTTTGCACCCACGGCACAAGCCCCCAAAAAGCCCACCTGCGCAGGCAGCAACCTCATTTCAGGGAGGCATGTACAGGGGAGGGTTCCGATGGGCAACCATGTCCACTGGCAGGAGGTCGGATATTTTCCCCCGGCAGCCAAATATCCTCAGCTGCTCCTGCAAGTGGCTGCAGGTGCCCAAGTCCCAGTGTGGAAGTGGCTCTGATGTTGAAGGGAGGGAAGCAACCCAGGGCAAAGGAAATTGATAGGAGAGCAGGTAGTAGGGTGCTGGGTAGGCTTCAGTCAGGAGGCGTCATGTGCCTGGTGTGTTTGCTTTTGGTCCCTTCCACCCACCCAGGGACGAGGGCCTTGCGAAGACAGATGCACATGTGGGCAGGCAATAGAGCCAGGCCCAACAGAGCTTGGAGCTGGACAGGCAGTGTCAGAGTGGCGTGTTGGCCAGGCAGCAACCTGGTCAGGAAGCCTTTATGGCCCTGCCTGACATGGGGAAGACAGTGGGCTTCCTTTATGGGTGGAGTCATGGCAGAGCCCAAGTGCACTGCATAGCCAAAGTCCCTTCTGCCCTACTGTCCCGGGTGGCTCATCACAGCCAAGTAACAGAGGGAGAGCCAAACGCCCCTGGTTCTAGGCCTGAGCACCTGTCAACAGGTTGGAAAGGTGTGTGCAGGTGGCAACAAGGGAGATCTTTGAATGAGAAGAAAGCTTAGACCGTTTCTTTTGACAGGCGAACGCTCTGAGATGGTCCAGGATCGATTGCCACTTATCGTAGGTTCGGCGCTTGGTGGATTGGCCTTCCTCGTAATTGCTGCTATCGCCATCCTTGCCATTGTCTTCAAGAGGTGAGTTTTCCATTTCCACCCAGTAGAGATCTTGGTGCATCAGCTTGTACCAACTTCACGTGGATGAAGGTACCCAACACAATTTAAAACAAGTCTGCTCTCTGCTCTTCTGGAGTGTGTGTGTGTGTGTGTTCTGGATTTCTGCTAGCAGAGCACTTATAATCTCTTCCTTCTATGAATGACATGCAAGGGAGATCTGAAGTCTGATAACCTGATGCATGTATCATTCTTCTCTTACCTCACGCTCAGGTCTGCCCATAACTGGATGAATGCAGCCTGAGAAATTAGACAATCCTGAGTCCAGGGGTCCTCCATTTTCAGGATATTGCTGCTACTAACATGTTTAAAAGACACTGCAGAATAACTAAGGGAAAGAATAAAATAGCAGAAGAGAACAAGCAGGCTAGGAAAACTTTGAGAGCAGAGCCAAATAGTTCCTGACTACAGTGGGAATGTGATCCTGTTTTGCTTCTAGTCCCCAAACCCTCATATTCAGTCTAGCTTAGAGGCCTCCTAAGCACACAGAATCTCCAACTGGATAAATTTGATCCTTTTGAAACTGGAATTTGGAATGCACAGCACTCTGGCCAGTACCTTCAAAGTCATGTCCATTAGTGAATACATCACTGAACTGGAATCGTGAGACATTCTGTTGTCAGAAATTCTCTTTCAGATATAATGGGCTTCATGTTACTGAATATCACATTTGCATAAAGACCAAAGTTCTGGTAGCGGAAGGCATATGTCAGAACAGCTTCAGTTATTATTTGGTCATCAGAGAAACTCCCAGTGGATCTGATTCATCTGGTATTCACGAGCATCATAAGAGCCCTGCTGGGTTAGGCCGAGTGTCACTGCAGTTCAGCTTGGTAGTTCCATTAATGGACATCAAAGCACGTGGCCACTACTGCGAGAGCTCAGAATCACAGGGTGGGGAGGAATTTCAAAGGAAATCTAGTCCCGCCACCCACTGACACCAGATGCAGAGGTCCGGTTGTTAGGAAACTTTTGCCCCCCAAATTTGAACGCCCCCAACACCTTGCCTTGCCAGGTAGGCGCTCCAGCTCTTGACTACAGTGGTTTCCCTTTTCTGCCCCTGTTAACTCACTATGTAGTAGCCTTCTTGGGGTGCTGGGTATGGGGAAATCCTCCTTTAAAAACAATCTTTTTCGCCTTTTCTGCCTCCACAGTAAGAGGCGAGAGACACCCTACACAGACCGCCTGCAACAGTACATCAGCACACGGGGTAAGTAACGGCGCACCTCTGCCCATTTCCACAATGTCCTGTCTTTGTGTGGCCGACTCTGGAGTCTCTCTCTTCCCTCACAGGTCTTGGAGTCAAGTATTACATTGATCCCTCCACCTATGAAGACCCGAATGAAGCTATCCGGGAATTCGCCAAGGAAATTGATGTGTCTTTCGTCAAGATAGAGGAAGTCATTGGCTCGGGTAAGGAGGGGACTGTTTCCCACTTCACCCACTCGACTCGAGCAGAGTCCGAACGCCCTCTTCAGTTTAGACCTGGCCCGCTTCTCCCCATTGCAGCATTCAGTTGCACTCCAGTTCTCCTGCCCATGTGCATCTCACCCGGGTCCTTCTCTGCCACAGCTCATTTCAGCATCTTCACAGAACAGGGAGACGTCCCCAGGCCTGGAATTCTACCTTGCAGTCCTTAGAGAGAGATGGGGAGGACTCCTTTGCTGCACCCCGTTCCTCCAGCAGTCTAGCCACTCTTGCCTGGGCTTGGGCAGGAGGATGCCGCATTCACAGGTGCACCTGAAGGAACACCAAGTCCCTTTCCCCGTGGCTCTGTGAAATGCGTGGAAGGGCAGGCCATTGGTGGCATAGCAAAGCAGGAGTGCGACAGGGGTGGGCAACGTCATGCCCTCCAGATATTTTTCCGCTTACCACCCCCATCAGCCCTCGCTGTAGGCCATGTTACCTCGGGCTGGTGGGAGTTGTAGGCCCAAACACCTATCCCTCCAGCACAGTTCCGATGCACAGCCAAAGGGGCCTTCTTCAGGCAAGCACCTGGGAACTGTTGTGTGCACCAAGGCTTTTGCTCAGCCCACGTGCGCTTTACTCCCTTCCCTCCTTCCTGGCAATGGTACAGTCACCCTTTATGGGTCTAGGAGCTGCCGCACCGCACGGTCTTCATTTGCCACAGCCCCAGATTCTTCTTGTATCCTGCAAAACTTGCCTGAGACCTCAGCGAAAGCAGCCCACAGACTTCTGGTTGGGTCCTGCTTTGTCGTGGTTGGAGAGTTTGGCCTAAATCTGCTTGGCCAACCGCTCCTCTCAACCTACCTCTGCAAAGGAGTTTGTGAAGACTGATTGAAGGGAATTGAGTCCTCTGCCCTGAGTTTCCTGGTCTCTGTATACGTCAAAGCGAGCAAAGCCCCAAATCTCAAAGTGCAGAGGGCACTGGTGCCCTCGTCTGATAACCTGAACGAGTCCAGAGCAGGGGCTTGCTTCTTCTCCACCTGATGGGGTTTCTTTTGCACCCCTTACCACCACAGGAGAGTTTGGCGAGGTGTGCTTTGGACGCCTGAAGCCTCCAGGGAAGCGAGAATACACCGTGGCTATAAAGACCCTGAAGGCCGGGTACACAGACGAGCAGCGCCGGGAATTCCTGAGCGAGGCCAGCATCATGGGGCAGTTTGAGCACCCGAACGTCATACGCCTGGAGGGGGTGGTCACCAAGAGCCGCCCCGTCATGATCGTCACAGAGTTCATGGAGAATGGCTCTCTGGACTCCTTCCTTCGGGTACAGCAACAAGCACTCCCTTTCCCTACAACCTTAGTCAAAGAGCACAGCATTATTCATCGGAAGTCAGTCACGTGGTTTCAGCCCCTGAGGCAGAAAACCCTACAAGCACCACCCTTCCTTTCCTAGCAGTAAAAATACAACAAATTAATAATTTCAGAACGACCCAGATAGGCTGTCTGAGGCAGCTGCTTTAGACCTTAAAAGAGAGCGTGAGAGAGGACGTATTTAAAGGATCCTGCCTTGTGCCTGTCTTCTAAGGACACTCATATTTGTAAAGATATTTGTGTGAACAAGAAAGGAAAGTATTTGATTTCATGAAAAAAGCCTCAGGCAGAAAGAGTAAAGGGAGGCGGCAGGAGGGAAAGCCCATGTGGGTAGAAGGCCAGCTAATCCAGGGGAAGCAAGTGCAACTGAGAGCATCAAGGCCCGAGCTTCTGTTTTAGGGGGTTCCGTTTTTCTCCACCTGCATGTAAAACAGCATCTTCAAAATAACTCTCTGGGCAGTGGACTGCAGTCCATGAAGGCACTGTGGTTCTTGCACATGAAGCAGCACGAAGCCCTGATCCTCCTCGCATGGCCATTGCCCTTTTCTAGCCCGGTGCAACCCCTGGGTGTCCAGGGGAAGGTGCATCACCCGGAATCTGGCCACGTGGGTCGTGCCCAGAGCAGATGCACTCCGGCAAAATGACTGCAGAGCCAAGAAGCGCCAGACACACCCAGGCAAGCCTCATAGGCATATATTGCCTTGCCCCAATTCAGGCATGTGCAAGCAGGGTACCTCCCCACCCCCTTCCCTCCCCCCCAGGTAAGAGGCCCCAGAGGGAGCAGCAGATGGGGGAAGGCCAGTGCGTTCCCCATGATCCCTGCACAGCCACTGCACCTGCTACTGCTCTGCCTTGTGCCGGGACATCGGTGCCTGCACTGACTTAGGGCCCAGTGTCACCTGGCTGGGCAGGCCCACTCCGGAAAGCCGGGGACAGGGGTGCTGTTAGGCTACAGTGGCTCTGGGCTTCCATAGTTCTCTACAACTAAATTTGTGTAAGACTACAGAAACTTAAAGGGCTGAAGATTCTGTGCAACTCAGAAGGCCAGTCTGTTACAGAGTCTGTGGACTAGATGCTTAGAAATGTAAGCTTGTCTGATTCTGCAGCACGTTCCTCTAATACCATTTTCTGCAGGTGGACAGGAGCACAGCATTGGAGTTCCTCTTGGCAGGTGGAGAGATGCTTCCATCCCATCCAAACTGTCTCTAGGCAGCTCCAGGGGATACCTCTCCAAGCATGTTCAGGACTGAAATCTAGCTTTATTCTTTCTGGCCAGAGTAGAAAAGGGTAGAGCAGACAGAAGGCTGAGGGACAAGCCTCTATTGCTCTTTTCCACCAAAATAAAGGTTTCTGAAATAGACTTATGCATTCCTTTCAGTCACATTAAAAAACCACTCAATCAATGTACCCTGGAACGCTGGCCTTCAGTTGTGGGTCTGGACCCACTGCAGCTTCCAGCCCTGCCCGTGGTGGATGAGAACAGCTGCACTGTCGTCATACAGATATGTGATTAAAAGTGAATGCATGAGCTCTGAAATGCCAGGTTGGAAAAAGCTAAAAACTCCTCCCACTGAAAAACCTTTTTGAGCCCTTGGAATTACTGGCATTTGGCTTTAAGTTGAAGCAATGTGTCAGTACCCTCTGTAAAACTGCCATTCTCAAACCTGCGTTGAAATAACCCCGTCTGATCTGCAGAGATGGAGTGATGGAGAAATAGCCATGAAGGAATTTAAACAATTAGCAGTAACGCTGATGTGGTGTGAGCATCCTCATTCAGTTACAAAATCAGCTGGTGGGAAGATGTCAAGACTGAACCCTTACCAGATTTAAGCATGCATATATATATATATATATGGGGGGGGGGGGGGGGGGGGGGGGGGGGGGGGGGCAGAGAGTTGGGTTCTGGGAATACCCCTTCTAGTTAAAATTCCATTAAAAACATCCAGCAGTGCTTTAGCAATAACAGCAGAAAAGATTTATAGAAATCACCTGGCAATCCATTTTGGATTTTAAATTATAAATCATTCCATCTGTTCTTCAAATACTGGATTTTCTAACAACAGTTTCTTCCAAGGTCACATTTTGCGTACTGAAGCCAGTAACATATTGGATCCCCTGAACTGTATGGTTGGTGACAGAAATGCATAAATTCACAACCAACTTCTTGTTGAGTATCGAGTACGTGGCCCCTTCCCTTTTTTTACTAGAAGGAACTCATGTGCATTGTCTTGCTTTAACAGCTTGGCTAAAAGCTTATAACCTTTATGTCTCTTTGAGCAACGCTGTCAGCCTTGCCATAGCCTGTCAACTAAGCGTCTTGCCAGCCTTGGCCAACCACCCACAGGTCCTGATCCTGTCCTGTTGCTTGCATTTCCCATTACTGTGTCTCTGAAGCCCGTCTCTCTTGTGTGTGCCGTTCACAGCAAAAGGAAGGGCAGTTCAGCGTGCTGCAGCTAGTGGGAATGCTGCGAGGCATTGCTGCAGGCATGCGCTACCTCTCCGATATGAATTACGTCCACCGGGACTTGGCTGCCCGCAATATCCTGGTCAACAGCAACCTGGTTTGCAAGGTGTCAGATTTCGGCCTGTCAAGGTTTTTGGAAGATGACGCTTCGAATCCAACTTACACGGGAGCCTTGGTGAGTTCTTGCTGGGAATGGTCAAGCTGGCAAGTTGTCCTCTAGGGGGCAGTGTGTGTCCAGCCAAGGACAGCTGGTTAAGAAACTCTGGGGTTTCCTTCCACATAAAATGATCTCCAAAGCAAATCCATAGGCTGAGAAGTGCCCAAAGCAGCTGGCAGTGGCTTAGCACACCCCTTGGTTGCCCTCAATTTGTGTGTAACTATGCATAAAGAAACTCATCACTGGATTGGCACGTGACCGGGCCTTTCATTTTGCACTAAATTAAATTTGCCCTGGCGACTGGCAGGACAGGGTTTTGTGTTTTCCTTGTACTAGCCAGTAAATGCCCATCCCAGTTAAAAATACACTTGTCTCAGAGGAGAAACCAGCTTTCCTTTTTGAGCCTGAAGCTCTGCTGAAAACTTACAGTCCCACCTTTTCCAAAGTTCGCCCCATGGCAAGAGGGCATGTGTGTTTCGAGGGCAAAGGAAGTACCACCAAAGTGCTGCAGCCAGTCTGGCAATGTTGCTTGCCTTTACTCCAAGATGAGTAAATGGGACTTCAGTGCCCTAGTTTGGGGTTGATGGCTGTTTCCTGCTGACCACATTTCTTTCTCTCTCTTCTCTAGGGTGGCAAGATCCCCATACGGTGGACTGCCCCAGAGGCTATCCAGTATCGCAAGTTCACATCCTCCAGCGATGTCTGGAGCTATGGCATTGTGATGTGGGAGGTCATGTCCTATGGCGAGAGGCCCTACTGGGACATGTCCAATCAGGATGTACGTTCTCACGTGGAGCACAGTCCTCTGCCCTGTGCCCCAGCCCAGCTGACTGCTGGGGGGAGACATTCTCGCATGCCCTGTGGAACTCTCTCTCGGTACATCTCTTTCTTCCTTGCAGGTGATCAATGCTATCGACCAGGACTATCGCCTGCCGCCTCCCCCAGATTGCCCCACCGTCTTGCACTTGCTGATGCTGGACTGTTGGCAGAAGGAACGGGTCCAGAGGCCCAAATTTGAGCAGATTGTGAATGCCCTGGACAAGATGATCCGCAAGCCGTCGGCCCTCAAAGCTATTGGCACAGGGAACAGCAGGTGGGTCGAGGCCTTGGGATGGGAGCAGTTTGGGGTGTGCCCATGAGCAGGAGGGATGGGGCAGGCATCATGCCTTCAGATGGGGGCTGGCTAATATCTTCTCCACTGTTGGGCCTGGATTTTGGAGCCTCCTTTGAGCAAAAACAGGTTTGCATTAAGCAACTTGGAGTATATAATTTACAGGCATGTTCTCAAAGAAAAGATGAAGACGCTTATCCTCATGATAGCTTGAAAAAAAGCTTATATATTTATAAGCAGAAAAAAGTCACACTGATGGAGCACTTTTCCAAAGCACTTCATGTGCCATGAATGCACTTAGTCCTTACAACAATCCTGCAAGGTCACTTCATTGTTGGAGAGAGATCAGACCAGGGATTTGCTGGCTCATAGCCGGTTCTCTTTGCTGCTGCATGATGCCAGCTCTCTCGCTGCTATGCTCTGTCCCTGCAGTGCAGGATTCTCATCCTGGGCTTGTCAAGCAAGCCAGCAGCATGCAGGCCGCCTGGGGCTCTGCTGGTATTTACCAGGATGCTGAACAAGTGGTTTGTGGATTGAGCAAGGTGTGGCTGGTAGGCTGGGTCCCAGACTCTGATGCCTGGAAGTGGAGAGGCAAAGCGGACCTCTTTGTGCAGGAGGGGAAGGCTGTGGGGAGGGGGGAAACTTCTCAGGCAAAGACTCTTGGGAAACTCCTGGGTTCCCATCTGCCTTTCTCAGCTGTGCAGAGCCAGATGCTTGGTGTCAGCAGAGGAGGTCCCTGGGGGTATATTCGGCCAGGATTAGATGGCTTCCGGACTGAGCAAGGAAGTGCATCCTGTTGGCACAGAGGGATTTTCCCACGGGTGTCTCAGGCAGGGGAGGGAAGAACCCTCCACTGTGCATGTGTCATTAAAACTGAGCCAGTGCAGAAAGAAGCCTTTAGTGGCCGGCCAGATTGTAGAAGGAGATAAAGCTGAAAATGTGGGGAACTGGAAACACAGTGGGGGCCTGCAGGCCTTCTCTGGCTGTGAGGTTCGGGTTTCCTTGGGACTGGTGTGCCCCACCTTCCCATTTTGAGGAATTGCTTGTCTCCTGTGATAGAGCAAGGCATCTTCTGCCTTTTTTTGTGAACGGAGGAATAGTTTCTTTGACAAGTTCAGAGTGGGAGGAGCCATTTATAGTGCTCAGAGATCGGAGGTGCCTGGTGCTCTTTCTTCATGCAAACATGGTCTGCCCCGGAGTTGGCGATTTGCCGCTTGGCCCTTTTCCCCATGCTTCCAGGAAACCTTAGGAGGATTTGAAGTAGTCATCTAGGTATGCCAAATCCTGGGGAAGAGTGCCTGTGGAACTCGTTGAAAGCCAGGCCAATTTTCTCCGCTGGGTTAAAAAGGTACCTTTTAAACTGCCCTGGGCCTTCCACTGCCCCCCAGGAGGCTTTTTTGCAGGCAAATGAAAGTGAAGCTCTGCAGATGCAGCCAGCCTTCTCCCTGTGTCCCCCCCACCCCAGGCTGAACTGGCGGCCCAGAGCTTCCCAAGCTGTGCTCCGCCAGCCCCAGCAGCAACCCGAGTGGAGCCAGAGCGGCCTTTGTTGGCACGGGGCAGTGCCTGGCCCTTGCCCTTGCCAAGCTGGGAGAAAAGCAAAAGCAGTGGTGGCTCGTCTGCCTAAGCAGGGAAGCGTTTGCAAATAAACAAAGGCTCAGCACATGCAGACTGCAAAAGGGAAGAAGCCCGTGTGCAAACCACTTAGTTGTAGTGAGGGTAAGGTAGGCTCCAAAGCTCAGGACCCTGCACATCCTTGCTCCTTGCCCATAATGCCATACTGCGAGGTCTTTTCGAGCCTCCACGGGAACAAAGCAAAAGGTAGAAAATTCTGGCACAAGCCCAAATCAGACCCTGTATGGCTGTCCAGTTGGGCTGGTTTTGCTGCAATCAGCACGTGATGCGCAAAGGGGGCGCCCTAAGCTCTCCGGGATACGTGCTCAACATACGGTGCAGGCTGGCTGCAGCTCCCCAACATGCATCCTTAGCACATGTGGACATGCATCACCACTGCCAGAGCAGTCGTTTCCTTCTGCTCATCTCGGATCTCTTGGCTTTTCCTGACAGAGCATCCCAGCACCTGCTGAGCAACTCGCCCCCCGATTTCCCGTCGCTCACCAATGCCCACGAGTGGCTGGATGCCATTAAGATGGCTCGCTACAAGGAGAACTTCGACCAGGCTGGCCTCACCACGTTTGATGTCATCTCGCGCATGACTCTGGAGTAAGTGCAGTATGAGCTGTGGCCACCTGAGCTCTCTGATGTATGAGGATGAGTCAAGTGCACTCGGCAACATTCTTTGTGGCTTGCTGCAAAGCTGGGTGCTTGCCTGGAAAAGATCGTGCAGGAGGAAGATCCAAGGGGATGAGGGCTTGGGGGCAAGATGTACAAGCAAGCAGTTCAGAAGCATCCTTGTGGCCAGACGAGGCCAAACGGGCCCTTGGAGGTGACTGACCATCACGCATTAAAGTGGTTGCTGGGAAGCGCTCTTTTAAAGTATGCTCCTGCCTCGTGTAGGACAGATCCTGCTTGTAGACAGCTAAGCCAGGCTAGACTGGAGCACTTCCCCAGATGCACTGGCTTTCTTAGTTCAGCAAGATCCCTTTCACTTTTGAAGTTTAAAAAAGTGGGTTAGTTTTAAATGATAGGCAGCATGCATGGAAAGAGTTCAAACATTTGTGATACCAAAGCTGTTCAGTTCAGCTCAATGGAGAGTCCAGTTTCTTAGTGTCCCATGGTTGGCCCTTCCTCCTTGGGATTTAATAATTTGGGGGGCAGTTTCTGTGGCTCGGTGAGTCTGTCATAGGGTGGTCAGCTTGGGGAAGGGGCCATTCAAGAGCATCATTGAATCTCTCTGCAGATCACAGGGGGCCATCATTTCTCCCTCCCTCTCCTTCACAGAGACATCCAGCGCATTGGCATCAGCTTGGTTGGCCACCAGAAGAAGATTCTCAACAGCATCCAACTGATGCGGGTTCACCTCAATCAGCTTGAACCTGTGGAGGTCTGACATTGAGAAGAGACACCACCCTGTCCTCACCCCCTTAAAGTTGCTGGAGGTGGACACGAGCCTTTGGTTGCAAAAAGGACACAAGAGAAGTAACTTTCAGACTCGTTGGAGGATGCATGAAACGCTGCCCTCCAGTTCACAGAGCCGAACCCTCGGGGATGGGTAGGGGTGGGTGGGGAGCGGGCTTGATCATTTACTGAAATCATAACATGAGACACTATGAATCCTGTGGCATGTGGAGAGGGTGGAATTGTACATTGGGGCGGGGTGGGTTAGTGCACCAGGTCGAGCAGAAAGATCACTTTGGCGCTGGAGATGCTCCCACTGCCGATTCGTGCCAGCATGCGGGGCCAAGCCCAGGAGAGGGATGTCCCTGGGTGCACGGGGGGCTGGCAGCCTCTCCAAGGCCCCCTCAAGCCAAATCAGGCTAAATCACATTCAGACACAAGCCAGGCGACTGTGATGCTGCAGGACGTCCCTCCAAAACATTTGTTCCACCACCGGAGAAGACCAACAAGTGCCAGCAGCCCTTCTCAGGCAGAGTGGCCTGCCCGGCGCCCCTGCAAAGCAGCTGAAGCGAGAGGATGCGGGCACTGCCCCTGCCAGTGGATTTTGGGCATGGCTTGGATGGCTGCCGTGTGACCCACGATCTGACCCATGGGGCAGAATCCACTGGAACCATCTTCCCTGCGCTGAAGAGTTGAATAGGGCCCATGTTCACTGGGGAGGTGGTGGAGGGCCCTTTGGATCTTCAGCCTGACACCAAACCCCTCTGGGCCAGCAGTAGATAATCTGAGTTGGTCTCCTGAGGAGGGAGCCAGAATGGCAACTTCTTGGTTACCCAGTCCGGGTCCCGAAGTGAGACCCTCTGCAGACCGGAAGATCCCTTCTGTGCCATTTGCAAATGGACAGTCAGCCCAGCGGAAACAAAATAAAGCATTTGACAGAGACCAAGGCGTGCGCACAAGGCTTTGTTAGAGGGGACAATACTGGCCTTCCAAAGGCTAGAAGAGAGTCAAGCCAGGCTGTTGAACCGAGTTTAGCACCATTGGTGTTGTGAGGCCCCATATGGAACACAGTCAGCTTGAAACGTAGAATATTTCAGGAAAACTGCATAGCCACCGGCTCTCAGGGAAGGTGCGGGTGCAAGTTTCCCAGGAGCATGAGCCCTTCTCCAGCACCATGTGAGGGTGTTTTCCATGACCAGATGCCATTTGGGAGGGTGCAGAGGAGGTGGTTGTGGGTTCTCTGCCAGAAGGGGCAGGATTTTCCTTTAGGGCATTGCGCGGAATGTCCAGATGTGGAGGAAATCCGCCTCCACACAATGTCCATGCAGCATGAAGGTCTAACTTCCCCCCTCCCTGAATCTGCACTCAGGATTGGTCACTTAAGGCGATCCCACCATCTGCGTAGCTCTTGAGCTTTCAGACATTCAGATGCTGCAGCCGTAAATATTCACCAGCCTCCCTCCTGACATGTTTCTTAGCACTTTAATGTGTTGCTGCATATGAGGCGGATGGATCCTCCCTCATCCCACTGTTGGTGTGCATGGGAAAGGGCTGGAGTGTGTCTGCGTACAGAAGTCTGAGGTTTCTCTGATTTGTCCTCGCCCCCCTGTCAGATGATTGCGTACAAATTGTCAGGGGAGGAAGGTATCTGGTACAGGAAAGAGGGCTTGGCACACAAGCTACGTTAGAGGTAAACAGGCTGCCTCTTTCACAGCCACAGGCCCTGCAGGCCTCGGTGGGGCAGGGAAAGGCCTGCCTCGTCTTGGGATGCTCACCAGTTTTTGGAGATACGGGCTGTGACCGGTGCCCATCAAGCACAATTCATGGAAGGACACGGACAGCACAGCGATTGGTGAGAATTCAGGAAGGCACTGGCAATACATAATGCAGAAAGAACTCCTAGAAAATAAGACAGCACAGACACCGCTGGTGTATTTTAGCCCCTCCACCACTGGGCAAAGTGCAGCTTGACAAGGCTGTGTGGGGCAGTCGCTTCCCTGGGGGAGCGCTTGGCATCCCATCCCCCACATGGCCCTCCCTGCGCAATGTGTGAGTGCAAGGAAGGTCCCTCGGCCCTCCCGACACCCCCCCCCCCCCCCTGGGAAGCTGATCAGAAAAAGTGAGGATGCCTGCCAGCGCTGTCCGGGGAGGGGTGACCTCACGGCCATTTCTGCAGTCTGTAGTGGCAAGCACGGAAAGGGGCCAAAAGGCCCTCCAGGGAGGCCTGAGCCATGGAGCAGGCCCATTTCAGGTGTGGGGGGCAACCTGGATCCAAAAGGGGTCTGGCAAGATTCTTTCCGCCCTCCTCACATGAGGACATTCGGGGACGTGTCCCTTTGCCTCTTCCCCACCGCCACAAAAAACTGTTGCTGGATTTCTACAGCTCCCTGAACCGCAAATGTGCCACTCATTCCACATGAGGGAAGGTTTTCACATCACTCATCGAAGTGTTTCCCCCTCAGCTTTTCCCTGTTGGTCCTGCCTGTTGTTGAGTTTTGCACTTTTCATACTGTGAACACTCCAGTCGTAGGCAGTGCCGATTTGATACAACATTAGTGTAATAATTATTATTATTGAGGTGGGTGACACAGTTCTTCAGTGCATTTTTATCCTCACAATCCTGTGAGGTATCTGAGGCTGGGAGCCCACAGTCGCCCCGAGAGCTCTCCCAGATCCGCAACGCCCCACTCCAGCCATCCCCGCCTTGGGGGATATGACCACCTTTGAAATGGTCTAAAGGGGAATGCTCTAAATTTTCACAGCACAAGTTCAGACCCTTCAACTCACCCCAAAAACATATTGAATGTAATCTGCCTTGACACAGGTGTGGGGAGTAGTAGAGGTATGCCGTACTTCTTAGGAGGGTCCTTGCCCAATTTTCAAAGTTTTGCCAGCACTACCAGTAATGTCGCCTCAATTTCTGCTCGGATGAAAAATTGTGGTGCAGTTTTCCTCACTACTTGGCAGGGTGATACATACGACCAGCTGACAATATGACAAATTCATATGCACATGGCAATCTGTTTCCGCTAGTCAGGTATGTAGCCATGTCAATATTAAGCACAAAAAATTGAGGGCCTGGGCAGAAAAGGAAGTTTAATCAACCAAGCACAAAACAACAAGCGAAAATGCACAAGCAGAAAAATGAGGGATGTGGGACAGAACCTGTTTCTTGACCTGCCCCACAAACCACAATGCAGCTCCCTGCTCAATCCTCCTGCAGAGAAGCTGGAGGGCACTGAGGAAGTATCGCGGGGGGGGGGGGGGCATTCCCTGCCACAGTCCGAAAACGTTTTGAATTGGCAAGGCTTGACTCTACATGCAGATGTGTGTGGGGGGGGGGGATTTTTGTGACCATGTAAGCTGGCTGGCAAGCCCTCTTTGCAATCCCCAAGGAAGCACCCACGAGATGCTCCTCCAAGGACTCCCACAGTAACCTGGAATGGACATCCGTGGCCTCCCCTTGAAAAAAGGAAATAACCTTTTAGTGGCCCGCTTTGTGCAGAAAACTGCGCTCCTTCTGTCTGTCCCCCCAAATGCCCCCTTGGCACAAATGGGGCCGGCAAAGGTAAAGGCTGGGCAGGTGGGGCCTGTGGCCCCAACCAGCAGACCCACATGTGCCAGTGCTTCGCACAGGGTGCCAGGGACTGTTTCCCTCCTGCACCGCTTCCTGGGGACCCGAGGCAGGCAGCTCCTTGCACGCCACATGCGTGGCACTGGGAGGACTTTTCCATCCCTCTGCTCTGCTGTGTGATCTCCTCTTTCTTTGGGGCCGCACAGGATGCATGTTCTGAAAAGCAAAGCAAATGAAACCCGCCCTTTGCAAGCACTTGGGGAACCCAGGTGGGGGGGGGAGTGTGACAAGTGCCCTCAGCAACAGAAGCTGTCCCAGGTGTGGGTGCCTGGGAGGCACAAGCGCCCCATGACAAAAAGCCCAGGTGGGATTCATCCCATCCTCCCCCTTGCCACAGGCTCTCGAGGGTTTGTACGCAGAATTACGGGGTCCATGGAACCCCTCCAGTTGCCTCTAACCCCGAGTTCCTTGTATTTGGGGAGTGGGAAGCTCTGGGGAAACCCTGCAGAGAGCCCAGCTGCCTGACCATGCCGAGCAGCCTGCCTCCGCTAGGGACTTCTCCACTCTGGCAGAATTGGGGGGGGGGGGGGTCCTCAGGTAGCCACAACAGATCCAACAGCAACATCCCATGAAGGGACACTGGGGAACTTGGATGTGCATCCTGTGGATGCAAAGATCAGGACTGCAAATTAGATTTCGCCATTAGACAAGGGAAAAAAGGAAGTCTTCTGAAAAAGTAGTGAAGCTTCAGTGAGCACGGAAGTACCCCTGACCAGACTGGGCGGGGGAAGCCTCTTGCAGTGCCAGCTCCGAGGAGTTGCCCATTAGCCAGCCTCTCTGCCTCGAGGACCACATGGTTCTGCAGGGTTCCCTCGGCTGACCCAGCTCAGGCAGACCAAGCAGCCGGGCAAGGGCAGGCCGGGGCTTGGAAGATCCCAGGTGCTGTGCCACATTCAGGCCAGGCAGTAGCTCCCACATAAGCAGCAGCCCCCAAGTCAGTTCCTGCATCTGTTGTTCAGCCTTGGGACAGCCTGTCGCTGCTGGATAGAGATGGGAATTGTCCCCCAGTCTGTGCAGTGGGACTTGAGGGCTCCTCCAGGCATTCTTCCTTCTCAGAGAAGGTGTAGATAACAGCATGGGCGTTGGTCCTCTTGACCCCACTTGTGAGGTTTGTGGAAGATACAGTAGCTCTGAGTGGAGGAGAAGAACCGTGTTCT